TCCGTGTGGGAGGGAACAGGTTCCAACGGAATGGTGCGAATCGGTCATCATCCCGATTTGCAATAAAGGTAACAGGTCCTCTTGCGAAAACCATATAGGAATTAGTTTAATCAACATTGGTTTTTAAACCTCTCGCTGGTATTATACTTCGTCGATTGTCTGCCGCACGTGAACAGTGCACCCATGAAAACTAGGCTAGTTTTAGACCTGGTCGAGGTTGTATCGATCACATCTTCACTCCTCGTCAAATTCTAGAACACACACGCCTTCCGTAGACCCACTTTTTCTATCTTCCTCGATCTGAAAGCGGCTTTCGACTCAGTCAACAGCTCTAAACTCTGGTACCGCCTCGCTCCAAAGGGTGTGCCCGAGAAGTTTAGTTCAATATTACAATCCCTTTAAGCTAATAGGCGAAGTCGAGTTCGAGCTTATGGCACCTTTTAACCCGAGTTCACCAAGGAAAGGGGTGTTCGACAGGGTTTCCCTCTCTCGCCGTTTTTATTTAAATTTGTGATGGATTTAATTCTAGAAACAGCCCTGTCCTCGTGGCATTGATTTGCTTTCAGATGACAGACTATCTGATCTAGAGTATGCAGACGGCATTGTGCTACTAAGCGATGAACCCGGCAAGTTGCAAGCTTTTCTGGATAGTTTGAGTGCTAGTGTAGCCATATTCGGTATGTGTTTTGCACCTTCAAATTGTAAAACGTTGATGCTAGATTGAGTTAGTCCGGACCCCAACTTCACCCTGACTGAGGGAGTAGTAGAGAAAGTGGATAAGTTTTGCTATCTGGGCAGCTATACCTCACCTGGCGGACGCATCACGGATGAAGTGTCAGCTACTATACAGAAGGCTCGGTTGGCATTTGCCAACTTGAGACATTTTTGGCGCCGTCGCGACATCCAGCTGTGTTAAGGGTAAAGTGTATGCTGCAGCAGCTCGGCCAGAGCTGCTCTACGGTGCAGGGACTTCGCCATTAAGGGAAAAGGATAAAAATAGATTGTCGGTGTTCGAACACCGCTGTTTACGTCGCATCGCACGAATTTGGTGGGGTAACCGTACGAGCAATGCTGAGATTCAGTGTACAGTTTTAGGTAGTCGTAGTCGTTCACTGGAGCAAGTAGCAAAGCCTCCATAGAATACATTGGTTGGGTCATGTGCTACGCATGTCACCACGGTGAGCGATGTTTGCCGAGGCAGGTAACGGTCGGAAAAAGACCAAGGGTGGTCAAACGAGGACCTGGCACGAGGGTATGAAAGAGCTAACCAGGAGACTGGGTCACATAGGTCCCGTTAGGCTCCTTGGCTGGGAACCCCGAGATAATGGTTACCGATAGTTAGAGACACTCAGCGATATGGCTGGGTGTCGCAAACAGTGGCGCTCGTGCATCTACTCGTTATTCTCTTAACACTACTCCATATGAATTCTCTATCTTCTGCTTGAATTTGCTTTCAGCATTCAAATCTTCATCCCGCTATTTTATCCGAGTGAACGACTAAGAGACGGCAACCAAAAGCTTCTATATGATTCGCTAAAGCTTGAATACAATAGAATACAATACCATCGGTGCACGAAAGTTCATAGTTAATGGTTGTAAAAACTGACGCTGGAACTACTTCAATCAACCTGCTGCAACGAGGGATAGTTGCACAATTTGAAAGATTATCCAAAAACACGAACCAAACATTAACCAAACAATAAAGCTCCAAGTGGCTGAGACTTTCCCCAATGTATGATTTATTCTTTGTAGCACCTTGACATATGACTTTGGCACTGCTGATATGGCTTCATTATATTAGATAACAAATTGTATTTTTATTTTTACAAACGTCTGAATCCAGACTGTAGGCCAGAAAAATCAAGGTATAATGATCTTTATGAAAAAGAAAGAAGTTCTATGATTTGCATGCGGGCGAAATCCTGCCAGGTTGCCCGGGCCAAGGCAGGTGAATTTTCTTGAGGAATCCACAACCGGAGCCTTTGACTAGCCAAAGCCTGACCCGCAAGGCAGCGGGGCGGTGCGCGAAAACCGCAATCCATCGGGGGCTGGTGTACAGTTCATCAGATCATACGCCCTTTGGACGGCGTCAAACGTCCAAGAGGCCCAATACACCTCGATGCCCAATCGAGCCGGTGACCGCTGCCACAACCAGGGAGGTGTATGTGGTTTGTACGCCTCCTCTTGATTGGGTTGGAATCAAGTATTTTGGCCAACTCCTCTAGGTGAACTACCAGTGGTCCACCAACCCGGTTATAGACCCGGATGTCGGGTACTCGTCTCCTCGTTTTTGCGAGAAAACACCGCCAGGAGAATGCAGTGAGTAGGGTTTCCTCAGCAGAGGCTAGTCAAGACGCTTAGTCGTATGGAAGCATTTTGGGAGGTGCAAGGGAAGCGTGAGCAGCCGCAACCTTAGACGTCCACCGCCAACCATACTGAGACTTAAACACCGACCTCATATATATATATACCTTCAACGAGTAAATGGATGTCCACTGGACACATTTCATACCAAATGAAAGTAAACCTAAAATGTTAATTTTTGAAGCTTTTCTTAGCTAACAAGTTCATTTGATATTCCTCCGGCTCGCTTTGTATCGAATGCTTGGTCAACTTTACCTAGCCGAAGCATTTTGTACACCCCAAAACTCGAGTTTATACTAATTATGCAATTAGAAAGAAAGCCTGATCGATTTTTGTCTTTATTCGATGACTCAAAATTAACTGTATAATTTAAATGAAACAGCTTTTCGGCTGAAAATACCCAAACGCTAAACAAGCACTACTACAGGTGATTAACAAAGAAAAATATTTTATTTCTTCCAAAACACAATGACTGAGTTATTAAGCGAAACTTCTCAATTTTCTGAGCGTGTATTTAATAACACTAGCGTAAATCAGCGAAATAATAGGATACTTTAAAAGACGTTGAGTATGCCCTTATGCGGGATTCCTTACGCTTACACCTCAGCCTTATCGTGAATCAGTACATAATGGTCACCCATGACAACTTAAACTGATGAACTGATAAGAGCTCACCGAAAGCCTTTCGTGAATACATGCATTCATTAGTGAGAAAACGTTAGTGCAAAACAACATAACCATTAGGTCATCAATATCCTCACTGTCGGTACATGGTCAAAATCTCGATAAAACTGCAGATATATCTATTCTTATGTGTATTAACAAGCCTCAAAGATTCATTGTTGAAAACGATACTACTCGCGAAGTCATTCATTTAAAGACAGGAAATTTGAGTTTATGAAATCACCTAGCCTATCATGGTCCTATCGGTTCAACCAGAAGTCACATAAGAAAAACGCACTAGGCGCAATAAAAAAAATTCAGAGCAAGATGATCCACATCCGGTCAGTGGAACTGAGACATGAAAACATACCCTCATATGAAAATTCATTCGTTGTTTCCTTTTTCT